TTAGTTTACATAAAATAAATCACTATTTAGCGATGATTGTAGATGAATTGGAATCACTTTAGAATGGATTTATAATTGATAAAACATATGAACATTCTGAAGGAAAGAACATTTGTGCAGCTTTAATTTTTGTTTCATGTAATGTACTGATCGCTAGAAAAATATGTGGACATATTTCAGCCTTAGTATCATATCATAGATGTGAAAAGATGGCAAATTATGAATATTATTAGCATAATTTTGCCAGAATGGATAATATCGATGATTGGTTCATTATGTAAGATCTAATTAAACATCATCAAAATGCGTTAAAATGAAAACGCTGCAATTTGGATGCTTTACAAAAATTATTTGTAAAGCAAAGTGGCATAAGATGATCTAAATTATTATGTTTGCCATATTTTGACACTATAAAATATATCACAATCAATCCAATGCATTGCCTATTTTTAAGCATTGCATAATGGATAGTAAAATTAATCTGGATTGATAAAGGGATTTTAACATCAAATTCCCTAAATAAGATTCAGAAAAAGATGAATGAGTTTCAGATTCTTTTCGATCTGGGTTAAATTCTGAGTAAAATTCATGAAAGAGAAGGATTTTCTAATTTTACGACTGATCAGTGATGAGTATTTTTCACTGTATATATCACTGTTTCACTTTAGGAACATCTTCTGATTGTAGATAGAAAGATTCTTACACATTTTGTAAGGATTTGTACAATTTTAATAAACCAGATTGTAGAATCAGATCTATTACATAAAGCACATCAAAGACTAATTGAGATGGTGAAGTTGATTGAAAATAATCACAGGCATTAAAGATGGCACTGCAACTAGTTGCAACCATGTGATACTTATTTGTCACCAGTTGCAATTAGTTGCAACTCAATTTTTATTAATGTTGCAACTAGTTGCAATCCTGTGATGCTTATTTGTTACCAGTTGCAACCAGTTGCAATACCATCTTTAACAGGCATAATAAAATCATGCTCAATCTTTACCTTTCTCTCCATTTGTATGATTGCTCAAGAGATTATAGTCTGTTATATGCATTTTAGTATTTTTCTTTTAAACACATAAATGGAATATTAGGTATTTTTTTTTGAGAATTTCTTGAATAAATCAGCTTACTAATTTATGAACGATTTTTAGATTCTTTACTGAATAGTAATAGAAAAATTGAATCTGAGCTAATGTGTTGATTGATGTTTGATATTCAAATCGACAGTATTATAAGTTCCAGTGGTATTAAGGTAAAAGGGTTTGAATTGCTAGACAATCAGCCTTCAATTAGTTTCCTTTCAGATACAGATGAATTTTCTTCTGACAAAATTCATTGATTTTGAATGAATTTACAAAATATTAAGGAATCAAATGTTACTAGTAGTGAAATATTTTCCGGTGAATTTCTTAAACCATCATCTGATAATATAATTATTTCAAGCGAAATGCGTGATTTGATGGTTGAATACTACGATGTAATTTATATCACGTTTGATTTTAGGAAGCCATTTGATAAAGATTTAGAAGATGGTATAACGATTCAGGTCAAAATAAATCAATTCAGAAGGTGTCAAATTAGTTCTAAAATCTTTAGATTGTCAATGTCTTTGCAACATGTAAAAAATTCGTACATTTTGACCAAATTTATTACAAATGATGGTATAGTCGATTATTATCCTGGCTAAGTCCAATATTATTTTACACATAAGATCGATTTGCCATCTGGAAAGATTAAACATTTTCTAGCATTTGTTCATTGATATAAACCTGCAAGTTCTCTAAATATGCAACATTATTTTAGCATAAAAGAAACATGTAATGTCAAATTATAGGATACTAAATTTTATCTGAAAAGTCATGATTGTATAATACCAGTTCATTATATTTTAGGTCGATTTGTACTGATTAACTATCGAATTTCAGCTCGATGAAATGCAAAAGAATATTTGGCTGTTAATCCAATTAATAGAAAATACTATTTGTAAAAATAAATTGAATGTTTATAGCATTATTTAGCTGTTAATCCTAAATATCAGTTATATTTCCTTCTGAATTTTATTTTATTTTGAAATATTTTAGTCTATTTTTGATGTATATCAATCGGATGTAAATCAGACGTCAATCAACTATAAATAAGATAGGTCAAATTTTAGCTGATTTTTGACGTATGCCAATCGGCTATAATAAGATAGGTTAAATTTTAGCCGATTTTTGATGTATATCAATTAGATGTAAATCAGACATTAATCAGCTATAAATAAGATAGATCGAATTTTAGCCGATTTTTGACGTATGCTAATCAACAATAAGTATGCCAATCAGCTATAAATAAGATAGGTCAAATTTCAGCTGATTCTTAGCTGATTTCTAGTGTATACCAATCGGCTAGGCTGATTTTTTGATAATTTGCCAAATTTAGGCTGAATTTAGGCTGATTTTTTGCATATCCGATTTTTTTAATTTTGATCAGTGTTAAACTCATAAATAAAACTTTTAAATTATCTTTTCTTTTTTATCTTCTAATAAAATTCTAATTCTTTAAAGTAAAATATAGTAAAAAAGCTATTAATTATACATTATAAAGAATATTCTAATAATAAAATAAACTATTATATATATTTTTTCATTTTTAAAAATTCTTTTAATATTTATAATCTTTAATAAAGATCTTCTTTTTAGTAATATTACTTATAATTTCTTATTAATATTTTCTATATTTTCAAAAATAATCTTCATAATCACTATCATAATTAGTAATAAAATAGATTTTGATAATCCTAAAATTTATTTATTTTGACAAATTTAATCTAATCAAATTAAAACTAAAACTAAAAATAATACTGATATATATAACTTAAGTATCTACTTCAAATATAATATTTTCATTAAGATAATTAATATCATTAATATTATCTGTATTATATAATAATGCTAAATTAAAATTGAGTTTATTAATATTAAACATTATTTTACTAAAAGTTATATAAGATTCTCCTGAAAATTCTCATGTTATTTTTTCAAATAGAAGTAACACGTTAACTAATTTATCTAACAAATTCTATTCTTTCTTGAATAATAAAATTTTAATTTATTACCATCACTTTTATTCTTTTTATTGATACTTTTATATAAATCAGCTTGAAGTTGAAAGATTATATCCTTAAGATAAAAAAGATGATTCTAAGTATAATATAAAGAATTCTAATGTATTTATATATCTTGTATACAACACATATAACAGATATTTATTTTTATTTATCTTATTATTTATTTATATTTATTAATTAAACAATCATGATTATTACTTATATAATTTATCAAAATCTACATAAGAAATAAATAATAATGTGTATAAATTTTATTTACGCGTCTCATTATTTACGCAAATCAATTAGTATTTCAGATGAATCCTCATATGATAAAGGACATTATCATAATGATATGAATGGAATATTAGTGGATTTCAAGTAAGAAAATCTACATTTTTTGTTAGAGAACAACGATTTACAATTGAAGATGCATTATGTATAAATGGTTTATTAGCATATGGAATTTAAGAAGGTCCTGAGGATTATTTACATTTCGTTTTTTATTACAGCTTCCAAAAATGTCACCATATCCTGCACAATATAGTGTGTTAGTTGTAGATAATGTGTCTTTACAATATCTATGAGATTTATGTGAGGCAAAAGGAATTTGACTTGAATATTTACCTCCATATTCTCCTGATTTTAATCCAGTAAGAATTATTTATTATATAATATTATGAATAATTTCATATAACATTACAGATTGAACAAAGTTTTTTTATATTGAATCTTTAGAAAATCCAATTGATGGATTAAATGTTAGTTGTATGACGATTAGAAAAACTTTAGCTAAAACATGTTATCAACATGTAGGATACTTGTAATTATATATATAGTAAAATTTTTAACTTAAAATAATAAATTTACTATAGAATAAAAAGGTTTTTATAATTATAATTTTATTATAAAAATTTTTAATATAAGTTCATTTATTTGCATATTTACAGTAAACAGTAAAGATTCACTATCTTTATTAGTGTTTGATAAATGTGATGACTGATGGGAAATTAGAACTTGATTCTCAATTCTATCATGTAAATATTTTGATTTTTTTTTTTTTTTACTTGATCTTGCATTAAATGGTTATGTGAAAAATTGAATAAAATATGTACTACAAAGAGAGGTACCTACGTTAGCTACATTACAGATTGCAGATTAACTTACTGAAAGAATCATGTTAGTGGTCAGAAGGACGTAGTATCCTTGATCATATGTATTAAAAAAAATTTTTTAAATTTGACAAAGGTCCTCTTTTATGACTTTTTAATCTCCCCTTTTAAATTGCAGATCTGACGCAGTTGAAAGTTTCGAAAGAGAAATAGCATTATGGTTTCCTTAGGTATTGTAGAATGGGATCGTAAAAGAGTATATAAATAAATTCTATTTAAATTAGATGATGTAAAAATAATAAAATTTTCAAAAAAAAAATATATTGCATACTATAACATCTCAATCCAGTTGATATTTTGGTATATAATGTATAATAATAAAATGTAAAAAAAAAATAAAAATGTACATAGAATAAATATTATATAACAAAAAAGAATAATGGGTTTGCAAAAAGAATAATACGATTAATAAACTAAAAGCTAAATACTAATCATCAACAACTAAGAAATCCCTAAAAAAAAATATAATAATTACAAAAAAAGGGGGTTGATCACATCAGAAAGAATTTTGCCTTGTATACATTCCCCACCTTTTTTGACATCATAGAGAAATTTGTAATAACTTCCATCCGCATATACAACTAATCAAAATAATAAAAAATTTTTTCTTAATTATCACTGTATGCAAAAAATGAAAACATATTGCTAAAATCACTAACCGATCACAGAGTTTTTTTCAATAGTACCATCGATAAATTTCGATTTTTAGCATTCAGAGGCCGCTTAACCTAGACTTAAGTTATACCATTTTCAACCTTTGTTTTACTATCCAAAATTGTCAAAATTTGATCATTATCAGCTAATTCCTTAGGCTCTTCACTATTCATTGTAATCAAGAAGGTAATATCAGAACCTTCCGCAGTCCATTAAATCCATCAGTATCAGAACCCTTAAACTCTTTATTATCAGGTTTGGTTTGTGGAATAGGCGGTTGTATAAATTAAAGATTTTGCGATATGTTACATATTGTGGGGTATTTCTTTCAAACATTAGTAATAATGTTGTTGCTGTATTTTTAATAACTCATCCTTGTTAAATCCTGCATCTTTATTTTCATACCAAAATCTATCAGAATCTCTTCTTTGACCACGATTCAACAAAACTTTTGAAAATAATTCCCCATAATTTCCTTCATTAACGTGATCTTCCATTCACCCATAAATGCCTCAACTCGATCTATGGTTCAATATGTTTCTTCTAAATTTTTTTGTACTTCGAGATCGCTTGAAATCTGCCCAAGTTGATTTTTTTAAAACCAAATGCTATACTTGCATCATATATGATGGAATACCGTGATCTCTACCTCGAATTAAATCTATACTAAAGAATAAATAAAAAGGGTAGAAATATAAATGTCACCATTTATGTTCACATGACCAACAATTTTGAAAACAGTAAATAAAGATCCTCTGTTAATAGGATAAGAATTAGTGCTTTATTCTTAGCATAACAAAAACTTCAGCAATACTGTTAAAAAACAGACATTATGACAGATAATTTGTCAAATTAATTTCTAAGTCTACATAGTGCCCTGATTAGATTAGTGGTTGTAATTCAGACCTATCACCAGGACATGGTGATGCAGGGCATGATTCAGAATCTGAAGATGAGAGATGATCAGCTTCCTTTTGTTTTTTCTTTAGCTTTGACTTTTGTGGTGTATCTTGTACAAGAGTTGTGCAGACATTCCAGGTATAATTGTCCTCTATTCTAGTACCACTTCTATTAACTGCCTTTATTGTAAAAAGTACATCTTTCTGGAATAGTAAATACAAGTCAGGAAAGTAATAGTAAGACATTTCCAAATGCTCATCAATATCCATACCTGCCAGCTAATCAAATCAGTCATAGCTTCTGAAAATAACTCAAAGTCATCAAAACTCATTGGTATTTTAATGTACGCAAACCGTTGAAGTAAATAAATTGATGGCAAGGGACAAATTAAGTATTTGACATCAATGTAGCCATCTATGCACAAAATACATTAGCACATGCGACAATCAGACATTTATATCACTGAGTTTTCAATCAAAATACTTACTAGAAGTCTGTACTAAGTATACACGTGCAATGTCCCTTGGTACACTTTCTAGTAACTTGTTTAGAATGCGCATTGAATTGCGGCTTAATTTGACGTGATCTTCTCCCTTTTTAGTTGAGGATGCCCTTCTGCCACGTGAAAACTCCACAATTATGATAGCCTGGTTATTGTTTGTTTTGATTGCCTTAAAAACTCCATCAACCTTATGCTGCTTAGTATCAGACGTTGTCAGTTCAATCCTGTGAATGAAGGAAAGAATTAGTAGGCAAATAGTATATCCCAAACTCATTGTTGACGCTTACCATCCACCATCTAGCACATCCTGGTGCATCCTAAATAATCGATTAAGAACATACACAACAGTATCTATTGCATAAGTTCGTTCAAGGTCAGGACATTTTGATTCACGCCTTGTTGGTGCTTCTAAGCGGATAGAACTATCCATAGAAGGTTAGCAACAATGAGGAAAAATTACCACTACATATGCAACAATGCTTACCAATGGGTAAAGACTTGTTGCACAATATCATGACCTTCATGATAATAAGGATCAAACCTTCCCGAAATGAAAGATTTACGAACAAGTGTTGGAATATTGATTCGATTGCATGTATCTTCTGTAAACTGACTGAAGTACTGTTTAACTTCTTCAGATGGCTTCCAAACTTGCTTTTTTAGAGATGTTTCAAACCATAAACGTTGTTTCTCGTCTAGAGCCCTCTCAATTGTCTTCTGCATATCTGCATTAATAAGATCTATTATGTTATTAAGGTATGTTGAGGACATATATGTTTTTCCAGATTTTTCCTCTTCTTGTTTGTACTCATCCAAAATCGCAAGCAGTAAACCACGAATATTCATCTCATCCTAGGAAATTAAGTACATTAGTATATTCTATAAGTAAAACTAGCAAAAGCTACAATACCAGAGAAAGGTCTTGGATTTCTTCTGTGGATGCCATATCACCATCTGAATCTTCTGCTGTTCCATGACTCTCAAGTGTCTTAGTCTGTTCATAAATGCATTTAAAAATTACAATGGCTAAAACTTTCACACGTTTAAATTCTCTGCTGATACTAACCTTTTTAGCTTTCTCATAACCCAAATCCGTGGGTTCATCCTCATATACTGTGCTCTCATAGGGGCGCTTATCCGATGAATGTGCCAACATCCGAGTCTGATATCTATAATTCATACGAGCTTTCTGTGATTGGAATTTACTTGCTTCGCCCAACAACTCAAGGCTTTCCGTATCAAGTATGCTCCTTAATCCAAGCTTTTATAAAGTTGGATCAATGTTGTTTACCCTGACAAAATAATAATAAAAAAAAACCTGCTCATAGCTTACCTGTTTGCGATCCGAAATTACCTCACGCCAAAATTGATGCAGGGTAGGGTTCGAATGAGCTGCATTTACCTGTTTGCAAATAAAGGTGAAGGTCAAGTGTTTTATAATTTCAATGCCTCTTTAGTGATCAAATCAAAAGACAGAGTAAAGCGGGTCGCGAAGGTGGAGACCCGGAAGTCTCCGTATACTCCAGATCCGGTAGACACCGTATCTGAAGCTTCCACCACCAACACTTGGGTCCGGTAGACACCGTATACTCTACATCCGGTAGACACCGTATGTAGAGCTCCCTTTCCGCTGAAAGATATTACCTTTTCTTTTTCAGAACCTTTTAATTCCGGGTTTATCTCGCTGACCGCCCACAAATATCTTCTAGACCATGCACCATGATTTCCAGTCCAATCGTCTGAGAAAGGTGGTACATCGACAATAGTGGGCCGGTTAAGTCTCAAAAACTCCATGTACGACCAATCCTTTGGATCACGGCTTTTCAAGTACGCAACGAGGGCTATCAAAACAAAATGTAGTTAATATTTTACCTTTTCCGCTCGCATTGAGTATGTATTTACTTGCCTGAACGACCGGGATACATTTCACAGGACAATTGTTCGTTGGAGGTTGTCATAACAAGAAACGGAAGAGAGCGCGCGACAAAAAAAAATTTTAAATTTCACGTGAGGTTTTAGGGAGACCCGCGTAACCAACAAAAATCATCGGCACGTGACATTTTGGCCGGCATTACGACATTAAGTGTGACGTTATTAAATTAATCTAACAAATAAGCGTGGCAGTTTCCTCCCTTTTTACTGCAAAGCGTCCATATTAGATATGGAATTTTTTTTATTGAAAAATATTGAGAGATAATCAAAAATATCCCAAAAGCTTTCAAAATCGCAAATTTTTGTATATAAAACAATAAATTTTGTCTTAGTAATATAGTTATTGTTTTCAATAATATATTTATTAAAGATTCAATTTCAATTGAAAAATATAAATTTTTTATTGCTTTATATCAAGAAAGCCATTAAATTTCAAAATTTTGTTTAATTTCAAAATTGGATGTTCTAATATTTCTTGATATTTGTGTAAAGTATCTATTCTTTTACTAGAATTAGAAAAAAAATTTATAAACTTTATAATATATTCAACATACTTGTAAAAATCTACTTTTTTTAGCAAAATTGTAAGCTAAAGCTAGGTTATATGCAATATAATATGTTACAAATAAATATTTTTTTTTTCTTTAATTCTTTGATATTTTTCTATTGATTTTCTAATATGATACTTGCTTCATCTAAAGCAAATGACATAAGTTTATTTGTTAATCCTTAAAAAATTATATTAATCATATAAATAATAATAAATAATAATATAGTAAATTAATTTAAAAATCTGCCTTTTTTATCAAATAAATCAATAATTATTTTGAAAATAATTTTTGAATTTTTACTTATTAGTTAGAGTAATTTTAAAAAACAAACTTTAACCTTCTCATTCAAATAATATGTAATATAGATAATAAGATAAGATTCATATAAAATATCAGTACTTTTATCAATTATAATATCAAATATATTAATTTTATCTAATTCTTTTTAATAGTTTCTACAATTAAATTTGAAATAGTAGATAATATTTTATATTCAGATAAAACATTTAAGAATTTTATAAAGTTTATAATTTCAAATAATTTGTTTAATAAAATATCATTTTTTGTTATCCAAAAAAATATTTTTATTAAAGTATCAACATAATTTTGAGTTTTATCTATAGAATTATTTGAAATCTTAATAATTCTGCTCTTATTATCTTAAGATTTATTATTTAATAATTATAAGAAAATTTATTGATTTGACTTCTAATATGCTATATTTTAAATTACAATACTTTGTTTTAATCATTAATAGAGAAACTTTGAGATTACTGCTTTTTCTGACTACTAAAATTCATCTTAAACAACTATAAAATTTTTTGGTTACCAGATGATCCTATTACATATTGATCATCACAACTTAAAAATCTAAGACATAATAATTACTTCTGTAATATGCTTACTTTTTACTTCCAGACCCTTTTTCAATGTAAAGAATTGTTTCTACTGCTTTAGATTTTCACATATAAGGAGACACTAAAACTTTCAACTCTCTCATTCCATGAAAAAAGAAATGGATTCCTTTACTGAAAAGATGTAAGGCCTTATTTCTTGGCCAGTTTATTACTCAAGATAATTTTTTAATAGAATATTATGATCTTTCTCTCAAATCTAGCAATCTTAATAGAGGAGTAATTTCAGAATGGTTCATTGCTTTACAAAAAATTGTTCTTTTAAATTCTGTAAATTTAAACTATCTCAAATCTAAATATTGTTTTGACAATTTTATTCCTTAAGGCTACATTACTTTCCCTTCTAATAATAAGAAACAATTTTCTTGAATAGTTCTTTGAACACCACCAAAATAAAATTATTATAATTTATTCTATCCTAGCCAAGATATTATTGGAAAAGCTATCAGATTTCATTTTATTTTTAACAAAGTTATTATATAATATTATGTTAATAATTCTACTTTCAATCATAATCTTAGATCAGTATTCAATAAACAGAATTTATTTACTTCATATTTAGGATGTTCTTTTAACTCACTAGAACCTATTTTAAATTTTAATGCATTAGCTACCACTTAGTCTTATAGTAACATCATTGATAATGATCTACCTAAAGTTATAAAAGTTACTCATTTTATCTCTGTTAATGACAATAA